GGCGTAATGAGAGTTTACTCAATTCGCCATGGCAGAAGAGAGCAGCAGCGTCAGACGGCCAAACTTCTCCCAGGAGGAAACTGATGTTTTGGTCCGGGAGGTCCAAGCTCGCAGTGTCCGAATATACGGATCTGCGAGCAGACCTCCACGGGCTGATGATGCAAAGGTAGCCTGGGAGGAGGTCACCACAATTGTAAATCAATGTTGCGTTTCTCTCGTGCGCGCGCGCTCTCTCTTTCTCTCTCGCAGACTCACCCTGTTTCTGTTCTTTTGACTTTTCTAAGATGACAGATGCTGAATATATACTCCCTATCTGATGCTATGGCTGTTTGTGGTTGGCTTAGAGGGATGTGAACTCATTAGTCACCGGCTGCGCTCCACCTGCGCTGACAGTAGACCTGGTTTCAGCTGGCGAGCTTTTAGTGCACCTTCGGCGAAGCCTTTTGGCACGAAACTGTCACTGCGCCAAGCTGGATCTGTCGAGTTTCGTCTTTTCTACAAATACTGACATCAAATTGCCTGACATGTCTTGGACCCTATCTCACAACTTCCACAGCTGTTAAATTGTGATAAAGCCCTTAGCAAATCCCATGACATCATTATCAGTGACCTGTTACCCAACTACACACATTTCAAGGTGTTAATTTCTATAGCTTGTTCATTTATGAATATACTGACATCAAACTACCACTGACATGGGTTGAACATCCTCTAACAACGTTCACATCTACTAGAGCGGCAGTGGTTTGAGAATTCTATGTTGAAAAACAAAAACAAAAAATTTCATATTGAAATGGGTCACATTGCACTTTTATGACGGTCCCTAACTACGCCTATCGCAGGAGTGTTGGACAGACATCTGGTCCATTGCACCTCAACTAGGCGACATCGTCATCTTTGGTGATTTTGAGTTAATCAAAATTGCAAAACGTTTGCCTAAATTAGCTCTTTAATATGTCTTTAAAAACTGGGAGAAATCAAGGCTTTGACATGGAGCTATTGAGGATATAACAGCTGCGAAAAATGGCAAAGATCAAATATAAAACACCACTGATAGATAACCGACTTCGATAACTTTATAATCCACAAAGGAACAACAAGCATGGTGTGTGGGCGGTGCACATGGGAAAAGTTTGCTTAGGTGGCTTTTTTTCCCCTGACCTTAACCTAACCTTCCTGGTGGCAAACTTCTCCCAACAATGTGGGCAGCGTGTCCCAGCCTGGGCATCACTTCATAGTGTTCCCTAAAAAGAGTTTCTGTTGTGCTGTGAGCTTCTTGCACTATTTTTGTAAATAAATTTAATGTTTTAGTGTGTTGATGTTTTTCTGTGTTGTTAAGTTCGTGAATGTCTTCTAAATGCTGTGCATGTGTTGTCAAGTTGGTGAAGCTGTTTCTTCATTTGCATGCGATTTCTTTATTTGTAATGCCTGCCTTGTGCTCTCGCAGGGCCACCGTAGAAATCAGCCGCCTGCTGTGGCCAAAAATAAGTTAGGTTTTGGGCCAGAAAACCAAAACAATGACTTAAAAGATGATGGTTTTACGGAGAAATCAAATATCACAATATGTTTGACCAAATACCCGGTGATGGCGCTTTCACAAAATATTTTCACAATGAGATTTACGATACATAATCATCAGTTATGTGGATATAATGACTAAATGGGTAAAGGCACATGACAGAACAGCCTGCTAAGTTCAGAATATTACATCACTTTACTGTAATGCGGCCTTTAACATCAGGGAATTACAACATCCAAAATCTACGACAATATCTAGTCTCATATCACAGTACTGATATAATAACCCTATGTGTGAGTATTTCCCTAGATGCACTGTAACTGACCTCTCGATTGATGCAACTAATGTATTTGTCATTAAGTAAAACAATAATTAAATAGTTAATGCAACTGATAAGACTTCCTTAGCAGTTGCAATATACAGACTAAAAGCAAAACATACTTATATATAAACGTATAAAAAAAACAAGCATTAATGCAAACCTTTTAATGTTTGCCACTCACTGTTTAGTCTCCTGACAACAACTGGCACAAAAACCACATTTCCCCGCTTTTTCCTTATGGGCCCCTCCCAGGATATCTGATATCTGATATCTGATATCTGACCTGAAACTTCCATAACCTCCATTACACCAAGCACATCTGACAGATAGCAATGAGTAGCATATTAGTGTATATCAGATTAGTATGAAGACATACAGGACATCAGGGAGAGGTCATTTCTTTTTGCTATAGCTATTATGTCAGCACTATGACGGAGTTAAATTATCAAAATAGCCCCAAAAAAAACAACTAAAAGGACGAGCAGTGTTCTTACCTCGGATAAACCCTGAGAGGAAGTCAGCCCTTTCTGCTCTGGACTTTTCTTGCAGTCAAACATTCAGCTGCCGCTACCGAGACACGTCAAATGCAGGACTGCTGTACCCTCACCATGGTTTCTGTATGAAGAGGTTCCGTTTCCCTCTGTAACACAGCTGGGCTGCACCTACTGCGCCTGCGCAGCTCGCTAAGTTTCGTTTCTGAGGAAATAGCCCCTACAGTAGTCACAGAGTTCAGCCGAACCGCACTTATGGAAAAAGGGCTTTCTACCAGAAATGAGTCTCTGGGTTAAGGTTAGGAAAAAGTCATGGATTGGGTTAAAAAAATATATATATCAAAAGCTAAAAACACAAACCAAATTATCTATCAAATACACACCACTGAATGCCACCATACACTGTTAAAAGAAATAATTACACATTGCTATAGAGGTTGTTAAACAATATATACATGTACTTTGCAGCAGCATGGTAATGTAATCTACATTATACGTCTAATAACATGTCTGTAGAAGACGCAGCAGAGAATGCAAGCTAACATCAAACTAGGGCAAGCATACTAGGACAAAAGGGCTAAAACTTCTGCCGTTACTTCTCCTCCCTATTCCTTTTGAGCTTGTTATGAGTTAGTGATAATAACGTTATATCAGTCCTAAAACATGTTTCCTTCACTAATGTAGATAGATTTGCATCAGCTGCTTTGATCTGAATTATATCTACTGATGAGTAAGTCCTAATTCAGAAACATTTGTATTCACATATGTTGCAGAAATAGTATGTGCCATTAATTAGACTATTTGATGAGTCAAACACACTTAATGTGAACACCTGTAAATCTGATGAACACACACTAATTAAACTGAGGTATACATCAAAAACTAGATAAATAAATAAAAATATATCCCCGATATATTTAACCAATATCAAAAACACAACCATTAACTTGGGGACATTTTTGATTCTTGTCCTACATGTCTGAAAACACTAATTGCTTACTCATTTTAATTTGTGAAATATCTAAAAATTTGGTTGTTTTTATTCTTATCTGCACTGAAGATGTATTAATTTCGTACTGAATTAAACTTTTAATCAATGAAATAAAATCTACAGGCTAAAAAGAGAGCTATTAAAAACAAGATCCATACTGTGATATTTGGTTTCCTGATTAATGACCACACTAACATCAATATTTATCAAATACTTTACTTGTTGTCATATCACACTTTAAAATTATGTCATTCTTTAGTCTGAATGATCTCTACTGATGATCAAGTCCTAATAGTCCTATCCTAAACAAAACAAAAAAAAGGAAATGGAAAATACATTCACTCACTGTTAGGCATGAAATATCTCAAAATTTGGTTGTTTTCATTCTTATCTGCACTGAAGATGTATTAATCCCACATCGACTAACCTAACTTGATAAACTAAACAAAACCTGGTCTGGTTCAGAATGCTCTAAACTTGAGCTAAAATCAAAAAGCCCCCGTTTTGCACAACTTTCAGTGGTTTTATGTGTTTTTATAATATATTCGAACATTTTTAAAGCTACATGGTTTAGCTCCAACATATCTAGTAGGTAAAATATCCAGGTTATTTAGACAGTGTTAATATTATTTATTAAAAAGCTTGATGTGAAGTTTTAATTTGTGTTTATTTTTAGAGTACAGGCCTAACATGTCTGCCTTATAAAGTCTGCCAATTGCTATAAATTCATATCTTCATCCTAACGACCATTACTATCAATTGAACTTAAAAGGTCGATGTAGATTGTTCAAGAAGTTACAACATAACACTGACATTGAAATAGAAAAGAGTTAATTATATTCAGTGAAAAGTTTTGCATATATTTACAAACACCACTGTTTACAGATTCAAATATTTTTTCATGTTAGTATCAAAACAAAAGCATGGGGCGTCGGTAGCATAGTGGATAGTGCCGGCGCCCCATGTACAGAGGCACTGCCTCGATGCGGCGGCTGCAGGCTCGATTCCGGCCTGCAGCCCTTTGCTGCGTGTCTTCCCCCACTCTCTCTCTGTCTTTATTTCACACACTGTCCTGTCCATTGTGTAAAGTATATTTGAACATACAACCATTAAATTACACATTTTTCTGTTGCACATCATTATGTATACACATTCTTCTCTGACTGTACATTATGTTACTGTTTAGCTCTTAATATATTTATTGTTATAACAATGATACAATTCCCATGAAAACAGTTGCATTTAATTCCATTTCTATTTACACTGAATCCAGGAAAATGTACAAGAGTGAGTAAGCTGTCAATGATCTACTAGAAGCCCAGATGTACACACGTGGAAACAAAGTTCATCTTGTGAGCTTTTTTTTCTATCCAGTAGAAGTCTAGTTCTGTTTCTTCAGGATCACACAAAATGTGAGCCAGTTCCAGTTCAATCAGATCACAGATCTACAAACATTCTGATTAAAAAAAAACTACAACAAAAAGCAGGATACTTGATAAATCTGGATACATAAAAATAGATAAATCTAAACAGGAAATTGAAGGTTGTACTGAGAAGCATTGACTTGTAGAGTAAAAAATATTCAGTTTACATTGTTATTACTCTGAGAAACCAGAGTCAGTTATGTCATAGTCCACGTTTCTATACAAAAAAAATCTGGTTCGTGATTTCTATGACACTAATGCTGTATTTTTTAGTTCACTTACATATATATATACAAGAGGGGACAATGCAAACTGCAAAATACAAACTGTCATAAGAAGGTACTATGCCTATGTTTCAGCAAGACGATGTACAGCCATATGTGACGGGATCATTGTTCAAAGACAAACTATTGTTTGAAGGCCTGTGTGTTTTGATTGGATCTTTTTGTATTCTGTTCTTGCTCGTTGTTATGAGGTGGTACTAGGCCCATGTTTCAGCAAGATGACGTACAGCTACATGTGATAGGCTCATTGTTGGGAGACAAACTACCTCCTCACAGTGATGTTGTAGGCAACAGGGCCTCTGAATGTGAACCCCAGGTAGAATGTGATGTTTTCATTACTATGAGGCACTGAAGGAACATGAAGAGGCAAGATATTGAACTTCTTTTTCCGAGGGCCTTCGAGGTACACCACTCCATTTTCAGTCCATCCAGAGACACACTTCAGCATCGTGGCAATCTCAGGCAATTTCCATGCCTCACCTCTAAACCACTTCATGCGTTTCTCAGAGGCTGAGAACACCTTTGTGACTGTTTCAAACTTTTTCTTGTGGACAAATTTGTCCAATCCATTTCCATTGCCCAGGAAAAAATGGGTGTAAATCCGTCTTTTCCTCTGAGGAATGTCCTTCATCTTGATCCAGTAGTCTTTTTCCAGGTGTTCAACAGCCGATTGCACTATTTCATACTTGGTTTCTTTCTCAAGGGCTGTGTCATGATCATCAGGCCAGAACAGCAGGGTAAGCAAGAACAGGGCACTTGGTAAACATTTCCTTTTATCAGATGGGAACTGATGACACAGTGCGTGCAGATTTTTGAGAGGAGCTACCTTTTGATTCTGTGGTGACAGGCAGTTCAGAGTAATGTGGGCCACGATGTAATTCACAATATCCCTTTGACCAAATCTGGCCTTGATTGGATTGCTGGGGTAGAGAGAAAGGATGGTCTCTAGAAGAGGTATTGCATCCCTCTGGTCAGTTAGCTTGGAGAGTATGGATGTAATGTTACCTCCGCCAAGATGATAGATGATCATGCGTTTTTGGAAAGGAGTCAGATTGTCTGGGATTGCTTGTCCATGTTGTAGAAGTGCAGTAGAGTAAGCTTCACTGAAGTACTTCCCATACTCTGCAGATTTTTTTGCCAACCATGTCAGTGGCTGGCTTATCTGCTCTTCAGGACTTTCAGGGGTCTCCTCTTCATCTGCGCCAATGTCTGTCTGGAAGTAGCTGAGGTCTTCTGAAATCCATTCCAAGGTATCTTGCATTGACTTGTGAATTTTTTTCAAACGGTCATGAAATGGTTCCCAGACATGTTTCACGTCCTCTGGAATGTAATCAGTTAACAGGTACTTCATACACTCTGCATGGCCATTGGCTCTGTTAGCAAACACTTGCGATGATGAGATCAGTTTCAGCAGGCTGCAGCCAACCTCAACTTCAGCAAAAAAACCAGAATTGCTTACATTTTCCATGTTTGCCTCAGCTGCTTTCTCACATTCTTGAAAACACTCCAGGGCTTTCAGCGCAGTCTCCATAGCATCTGCTATATTTTGGGCTGTCTTTGGTACATTGTCATGGTCAATAGCTTTGCATTTAGCTTGGAACCATTTCTTGTAAACCTGCCCTTTTGTGTTGAGTATGTATGGGTTGTTGGGCAGCTGTTTAGCTGCTGTCTCTGCCCAGTGTTTTGCCTCTTCAAACTTCTCATAAGAATAATGAAGACGAGCCAGTTGTTGCGCAAAGAATGCATCTTTATGGAAACGCTGGAATGCTTCCTTGAGTAACTCAATTGCTTTGTCTGGGCGGCTCTCCTTTCTACACACATGCTCAATCAGGGGAGAGAAAAGGCTATCATATTTGTCCCCTTTGCTTATTCTGGCTCGCCTTATGAAAAGGGCTCTCAAAAACGACAGATATTCTTCCCTTCCAAATCTGTGCTCAAAAAGCACGTTCTCACAGAGCAAACTCTTTGCCAAACTGCTTTGGGTCTGTTGGTTCCCCAAAAGCTGTTTGAGAATTTCTTCTGCAACGAGTGGGTGGATGATTCTGATTGATTTAATTTGCGTCTTGTCATCTCTCAGGTGCAAGAACACTAGTTTAGCCTGTTCACTGAGAGATTTCTCAAACTCATGCTGGCGAAACCTTTCCAAGTGAAAGGTTAGGGCAAGCAAAGATTCACAATGGGACAGAGAGATGAAAGAGTCTTGAACATAAGTGTTTAGCAGTGCTACATAGAGAATGAGGCGAGTGACAACAGATTGACGGTCAATGCCTTGGAGCAAATGTTCCACAAACTGTTGAACGTATTTCTCATTGAACCCTTCACTCATCAACACAAAGGTCAGGATGAATCGTGGCTCATATTGTTTCTCAAGCACCTGCCGTTTTCCTGCAAACTTCCTCTTCTCTTGATCAGACAGCTCATGAGTGACAGACACATTGTGCAACACCGACTCCTTGCATCTTTTCTCTGGATCATGGGATCGTCTGCAGCTCAACAAAATGAAACACAGAGTTTGATACTGGATTCTTTTCGTGTTAATGGCAACCTCCAGTTCATTCCTGAGATCATCTAGATATTCTTTGTCTGAGTCTTCAATGAGGAGCAGCACAGGAAGACATGTCTGTGGATCTTTTTCTTCATATTCTCTTAGTTCAACTACATGTTGCGCAACAAGAGAAGCTGAGTATGAAGGCTTCACAACTGCACACCTTAGATCTTTCCTTTTGTTCCACAGCACTTGTCGTGCCACAGTGCTTCCTCCACTTCCTGGATGATGGTAGATGTTTATACTCTTTACTGGAGTTTGATCTGCATTCCATTTCAAAGCATCATTGAGAAGTCTGGAAACCTCATGATAAGCATCTCTTTCAATTACCTCTCCCAAATGCTTGTGCTCAGCAAGCCAGAAATTCAACCAGTTCACTTTCCCACCACGATAGAACTGCTCTTCAATGTTTGCTTTCTCCTCATTGATGAATTCTTCACTTGTTTCATCGCAATGATCAACCGTCAGAATTTCCAGAGAATACATCTGTTCCTCTGCCTGTGTTTCTAGCAGACATGTCCCTTTCACAAAGACCGGCAGGTGTTTGCTGGCATGTGCTTTTACAGGTTGTATTTGCTGCAGAGTTGCATTAACATGACTCATTTTCATCCCAACAACACTGCAATTGTTGACAGTTTCACTCTGTCCACATGAGACCTCTGCAAAGCTTTGCCACTTCTGGAAGTTTTTCTGTGATTCACAGATACAGACAATGTCTTCGTGGCCTTCCATGTCTGTGAAAAACTCATAAAAGGTGAGCAAAAGTGGTTTCTCAACTGGTGATGTGAGAAGAAAAATTACCTGGAACGTCCCTTTTGGCAAGATTTGCTTACAGATCAAAGACACAGATTCCCGCAGGATAGTGACTTTTGTCTCAATCCAAGTAATTTCATCACATGGAGTTTCATTTCCTTTGAAGTCAGTACAGCCATTACAAAAGATCCAGCTAGTTTGGTCAAACAAATGCAAGCTGCTTGTGAATTCTTTGATGCTCTTGTCACCAGATATCCTGTAGCTCTGCAGAGAATGCATGTTTGCAGCGTGATGCTGAAGGTATTTACTGCAAAGACCTGAAATCTTTGAGTCTGGGTCAAAGTCAAACACACAGAATAAGTTCATGTTAAGCAGCCAGTCAATGTTGCAGAGGTCATCAGGGTTGAATTTGTTTGTGACGAGTATGAACCATTTCTCCTTTTCAATGAATTTCTTCCCACTAGTCATTAGCATTTTGAGTTTCCTTCCAAGGTCTTGGCAGAATTCTGGAGCGCTGAAGAACTGACCTTTCTCTGCTTCTTCTCTTTGGGCATCCCGATCTTTGACTCGCTCGTAAAAATCACTTCGGTCTTTGTCACTCACTGGCTCTGTTTTTGAACCCACTCTCCGCAGAATCATTTCTTTCTCAAATTCTACTTTGTTGGTTGACTCTTTGAAGTTTGGCAGACGAACAGAATACACCTTGCTCTTAACAATACCTATTGAAGGCACAATGTCAACCTCTACCACATACCTCTTTTCTGTACTTTCTCGATCCATAACCTCAATGAACCTTGGTGGCCGCACACACTGGCGTACATGTTCCTCGTTCGAGGAGAAGCTCCTTTCAATGTAGTCCAAAGCATCTACATAAATGTCTTTCTCTTTTACAGGGATACCAATGATCTCACCATGCACGAATTCTGCATCCTCCTTGCTGTCCATCACACCAAAGTGTATTGTGCCATTTGTTCGGATATTCATACAACCAGCTGCAAATTTAAGGACCTCTTTGGCAAACTTAGCCTGGAGTCTTGTGCGATCCAATTGAGCAGCTGAAGCAAGAGACTTAAATTCATGGCATGGAGATATTAGGTCAAAAGCACCTGATTCAGGTTGCAGGACACTGTGCTTTACATATATGAAATCAATCCCTTCTTGATCAAATGGGCGTGGTCTGCAGTCTTCCTTTGACGTCAACACACTTTGTTCTTGGCCTGTTTGTCTGTCCTTCAAGACATTTGGATCTCTCTGAGGAGTCTGTGCTGAAGGACTTTCAGTTGTTGTAGGAAGACACTGAACTGATTTCTGTTCCAACTCAGTTGTTTTGCCACTGATGGTCTTTTTCTTCTCTTGAGACTTCTGTTTGGAGCTGATGAGCTCATTTCTCTTTTGAATAATCAAAAGAGCAGGCCCTGATTTCATGCAAATCTTTGACTTCAAAAAGTCCTCATCCAGTGCAAGTAGGATCTGTCCATCTACTTCTTCCTCATAGATTTTTTCTATGTACTGCTCCTTCACTCCAAAAGACCTTAGCCAGGTGCTTACTTGAGATTCAGTCCAACCCTTGGGTGACTGCCCAAGTTCGTCAGCTGTATAATAAAAAAATAAACAGAAAAAACAATATGTCTGATTATTANAGTGAGGGGCGGAGATGGGCGATGTTCTTGAGATGGAAGAAGGCAGCCCTGGTGATGTGATTGATGTGGTGGTCAAACCTTAACTGGCTGTTGAAGACGATTCCTAGGTTGCAGGTATGTGGTGAGGGAGACAGAGTGCAGTTATCGAAGGTGAGGCAGAAGTTGTGGGTGGCTTTGGTGCGATGTGGGGTCAATGATGATTATGTCTAATTTGTCACTGTTCAGTTGGAGATAGTTTGTTTGCATCCATGATTTTGCATGGCTTTACAACTGCACACCTTAGATCCTTCCTTTTGTTCCACAGCACTTGCTTCCTCCACTTCCTGGATGATGGTAGATGTTTATAGTTTGAGTTTGAGTTTGAGTTTGAGCTGCATTGTATTGAGAAAACTGGAAACCTCATGATAACCATCTCTTCCAATTACCTCTTCTACATACTTCTGCTTAGCAAGCCAGAAATTCAACCAGATCACTCCCACCATGAAAGAACTGCTGTCAATGTTTAGTACATTGTCATCCATACCATGTGCTATAAGATTTTTTGGTTTCACCTCTGTAATGTTACCTCCACCAAGATGATAGATGATCATGCGTTTTTGGAAAGGAGTCAGATTGTCTGGGATTGATTGCCCATGCTGCAGTGCAGTAGAATAAGCTTCACTGAAGTACTTCCCATACTCTGCAGATTTTTTTGCCAACCATGTCAGCAGCTGGCTTATCTTCTCTTCAGGATTTTCAGGGTATTTTCTTCATCTGCACCGATGTCTGTCTGGGAGTAGCTGAGGTCTTCTGAAATCCGTTCCAAGGTATCTTTCATTGACTTGTGAAGTTTTTTCACACGGTCATGAAATGGTTCCCAGACATGTTTCACTTCCTCAATAGCTTGGCATTTAGCTTGGCACCATTTTTTGTAAACCTGCCCTTTTGTATTGAGCATGTATGGGTTGTTGGACAGCTGTTTAGCTGCTGTCTCTGCCCGGTCTTTTGCCTGAAGACGATCCAGTTGTTGTGCAAAGAATGGATCTTTAAGGAAACACTGGTATGCTTCCTCTAATAACTCAATTGCTTTGTCTGGGATTTTCTCCTTTTCACACACATGCTCAATCAGGGGAGAGACACTCTTTGCCAAACTGCTTTGGGTCTGTTTGTTCCCCAAAAGCTGTTTGAGAATTTCTTCTGCAACAAGTGGGTGGATGATTCTGATTGATTTAATGTGTGTCTTGTCATCTCTCAGGTGCAAGAACAGTAATTTAGCCTGTTCACTGAGAGATTTCTCAAACTCATGCTGGCGAAACCTTTCAGAGTGAACAGTTAGGGCAAGCAAAGCTTCACAATGGGACAGAGGGATGAAAGAGTCTTGAACATAAGTGTTCAACAGTGCTACATAGAGAATGAGGCGAGTGACATCAGAGTGATGGTCAATGTCTTGGAGCAAATGTTCCACAAACTGTTGAACATATCTCTCATTGAATCCTTCACTCATCAACACAAGGGTAAGGATGAATTCAGGCTTATATTGTTCTTCAAGTGCCTCTCCTTTTCCAGCAAATTTTCTTTTCTCTTGAACAGACAGCTCATGAGTGACAGACACATTCTGTAGTGGAGACTCCTTGCATTTCTTCTCTGGATCAAGGGATCTTCTGCAGCTCAACAAAATAAAACACGGAGTTACAAACTGAATTATTCTAGTGTTAATGGCAACCTCCAGTTTATTCCTGAGATCATCTAGATATTCTTTGTCTGAGTCTTCAATGAGGAGCAGCACAGGAAGACATTTCTGTGGATCTTTTTCTTCATATTCTCTTAGTTTAATTACATGTTGCGCAACAAGAGAAGCTGAGTATGAAGGCTTGACAACTGCACACCTTAGATCTTTCCTGTTGTTCCACAGCACTTGTCTTGCAACAGTGCTTCCTCCACTTCCTGGGTGATGGTAGATGTTTATACTCTTTACTGGAGTTTGATCTGCATTGCATTTCAAAGCACCATTGAGAAGACTGGAAACCTCATGATAAGCATCTCTTTCAATTACCTCTCCCAAATGCTTCTGTTCAGCAAGCCAGAAATTCAACCAGGTCACTCTCCCACCACGATAGAACTGCTCTTCAATGTTTGCTTTTTTCTCTCTGATGAATTCTTCACTTGTTTCATCGCAATGATAGACTGTAAGAATCTCCAGAGAATACATCTGTTCCTCTGCCTGTGTTTCTAGTAGACATGTCCCTTTCACAAAGATTGACAGGTGTTTGCTGGCATGTGCTTTTACAGGTTGTATTTGCTGCAGAGTTGCATTAACGTGACTCATTTTCATCCCAACAACACTGCAATTGTTCATTTCAGTTTCTGTTCCACATGACCCCTCTGCAAAGCTTTGCCACTTTTGGAAGTTTTTCTGTGATTCACAGATGCAGATGATGTCTTCATGGCCTTCCATGTCTGTGAAAAACTTCTTGAAAGTGTGCAAGAGTGGTTTCTCAACTGGTGATGTGAGAAGAAAAATTACCTGGAACGTCCCCTTTGGTAAGATTTGTTTACAGATCAAAGACACAGATTCCTGCAGGCACGTCATTTTTGTCTCAATCCAAGTCATTTCATCACATGGAGTTTCATTTCCTTTGAAGTCAGCACAGCCATTACAAAAGATCCAGCTAGTTTGGTCAAACAAATGCAAGCTGCTTGTGAATTCTTTGATGCTCTTGTCACCAGATATCCTGTAGCTCTGCAGAGAATGCATGTTTGCAGCGTGATGCTGAAGGTATTTACTGCAAAGACCTGAAATCTTTGAGTCTGGGTCAAAGTCAAACACACAGAATAAATTCATATTAAGCAGCCAGTCAATGTTGCAGAGGTCATCAGGTTTGAATTTGTTTGTGACGAGTATGAACCATTTGTCCTTTTCAATGACTTTCTTCCCACCAGTCATTAGCATTTTGAGTGTCCTTCCAAGGTCTGGAGCGCTTAAGAGCTGACCTTTCTCTGCTTCTTCTCTTTGGGCATCCCAACCGTTGACTTGCTTGAAAAACTTTTTGTCTTTGTCGTTCACTGGCTCTGTTTTTGAACCCAGTCTCTGCAGAATCTTTTTTTTCTCAAATTCTACTTTGTTGGTTGACTCTCCAATTTTTGGCAGATGAACCGAATACACCTTGCCCTTAACAATACCTATTGAAGGCACAATGTCAAACTCTATCACATGCTTCTTTTCTGTACTTTCTCGATCTGTAACCTCAATGAACCTTGGTGGCCGCACACACTGGCGTACATGTTCCTTATTCAAGGGGACACACCTTTCAATGTAGTCCAAAGCATCTACATAAATGTCTCTCTCTTTTACAGGGATACCAATGATCTCACCATGCATGTATCCTGCATCCTCCTTGCTGTCCATCACACCAAAGTGTATTGTGCCATTAGTTCGGTTATTCATACAGCCTATTGCAAATTTAAGGACCTCTTTGGCAACCTTAGCCTTGAGTATTTTAGGATCCCGTTGAACAGCTGAAGCAAGAGACTTAAACTCATGACATGGAGATATCAGGTTAGAAGCACCTGATTCGGGTGGCAGGACACTGTGCTTTACATATTTTAATTTATTCACTTCTCGATCAAATGGGCGTGGTCTGCAGTCTTCTTTTGAAGTCATCACACTTTGTTTTTGGCCTGTTTGTCTGTCCTTCAAGACATCTGCTGGTGGACCTTCAGTTGTTGTAGAAAGACATTCAACTGATTTCTGCTCCAACTCAGTTGTTTTGCCACTGGTGGACTTTTTCTTTTCTTGAGATTTTTTTTTGCTGTTGAAGTCTTCATCCATCCTCAGAAGTTTTTTTATGTACTGCTCCTTCACTCACACTTCACACTTAACCAGGTGCTTACTTGAGATTCAGTCCAACCCTTGGGTGAGTGTTCAAGTTCGTCAGCTGCATTGTGAAAAAAAAAGACAGAAAAAAGGAATATGTTAATTATTGGGGACAGACTCAAGGATGCACCATAGTTCTCCTCCATAATTTAGCTGTATTTACAATTTGCAGGTATTTAGTAGTAGCACATGCTGTAATCTGTGTCCAAATACTGTCCAACTTCCCTATGCTATGTCGCCCCTGGCTCCTAGCCCACTTATTCCTATTGCACACTTAATTCTTTAAAAAAGTAGTTCATGTTTTTTGGGTTCTTGGGGGCAGAGAAACAAGCTGTAAAACAGATACGGTGACGTCTTTTGGCAAACAGTTGCCTATTTGCATATCCAGCAGACATGAGGCAACTTAAGGATTCATTTGGAGTTATGTTTCTGGTGGCCCTGTTAACTTAGGTCTGGTGTTTGCCGACTATATTCGTATCCTTAGCTGCTAAATGTTCCACCTTGTTCACCAGCTAGTCGCCAACTTTGTATATCTATTGTTTGGTACTGTACAAGTGGCATACAGGGGATGAATCAGAACTGTACTATCAAAGAGTTTCTACTAAAAGTAGCTGCAAGAGAGGAACTTCCAGTAGCCGAACCATGTAGACGTGTTTTGTGGAGCTACTCGCTTTAATTGAATCTTCACGGATTTAAGTCAGATAACTGTCAGTCTTCAATTGGCGCAGTGTTTAATACACACGGTCGCTATATATTTTCTCTCGTTCAGCCTCTTGTTGAACTATTTTGTCTGGTCGCAGTGGTAGACATGCTAAGCAAGCTAACCCCTTCAGCTAGCACTAGCTCTGCTGGGGCCAAAAATGCATTGGAACAAGAGCCAATACTCCAAGCGACTGTCTCTTTAAAAGATGAACTCCTCGCTAAAATCAATGAGAAAATGGAGGGCCGGATGGCAGACAATGGTATGGACAGTGTTCACAGCAGAATTGGAGCGTTGGATGTGCAGTTTCAACAAGTGGAAGAGGCTGCTAGCCAACAATCTACCATAGTCAGCACTCTTGAGCGAGAGGTGGCAGCAATCAAAAAAGATATCGCCAGTCTGAAAGCACGCAATGAAGACTTGGAAAATAGATCACGCCATTGTAACCTGCAGATAACTAGTGTAAAAGAAGGAAGAGAGTGTCAAGGGGCCGGTCAGCTACATATCCCATAGTTTTGCCAATATAAAGTCAGTTAGGATCCATTGTTGTGGTGGTCACATGGATTCCATGTTTCAACAACATCCTGTATACACACAAAAACACAAAAGTGTTCTTGATATTAAAACAGCAAATATATTATTATATTATATATTATTATAATTTCCCACCAATAATAATAAAAATGATAGTTCGGCTGTACTAGATATTTGACATATTCAGTAGATTTACTTTTTTATGACATTATTTGACAACTCTACAACCGGAGTCCCAAAAACGCCGTTTCTAGAGAACTTGCTAAAATATCTGAAATTAACCATCATCCTTACTTTTTCTTAACATATTTCATCTAGGTGCAGTGTCATTCCTAGTTCGGCTTTACTGGACATTTGATATATTCAGTAGATGTATCTTTTTACGACTCTATTTTACAACAAGTCGCAAAAAACTACCGTCCCAAAAACAGGTCGTTTTTTTAGTACTATCTAAAATATCTGAAATTAGCCAACATCCTTGCTTTTTCTTAACATAGTTCATCTAGGTGCAGTGTCATTCCTAGTTCGGCTTTACTAGATATTAGATATATTCAGTAGATATATGTTTTTACGACCCTATTTAGAACCCTACTTTGCAAATCAGAAGAACTACATGCATGGCGCGGTCCCAGGGAACTGTAGTTTTTGAAAAATATAAGTGTTTTTCCTAGTTTTGGAAGTTGTAAATACTGAATTGAGAGTACACTGTGGACTTTAAGGGGATGGTAAAAACTTGTGTAATCAGATTTTAAATATCTAATTTCAAAAAGAATGAAAATTATTTTTATCCATATTTTACCCATATCTGACAGCACCCCCAGTTGTTGACTACACTCACATGATAGCTGAGGTCAAGAGCTCTCTATAACAGTTGGTCCCATGTCTGTACCCCCTTTTGTTGCTGAGTTATACACCTTCAAACATGCACTGAGGTCACAGTGAATGACTCAAAGCTGGAGCCATGTAGAATCATCATACTGACATACTGTATGTTACTCTCCAGGTTGAGACCTTTCCAATGATGTATTTGGTTTAGCTCTACGACAAAGTTTTGATTTTTTTCATTTTTTGGACACAAGTCATGCCAGGTCTAGTTTCAGAGAGCACTTTGAAGGCCCAGTGTATAAAATGATTTTTGTTTGTTTCTTTGCTTGTTTTTTCTTTTTTTCTATAGATAGTTACTAAAATGATTTGAAATGGAATAAAGCCCATAGACGGAAGACAGTAGCTACAAAACAGTCGAATGCGCCCCATCCACCCACAGCACAATGCTCATAAAGCCTTACGCTATCAAAAGCTGGCAAAATACATTTATTTTATTTTATGGCCTTGACATTGACCTGTCATATTGTTGAGTTATCAAGGACACTTACGTGTTTTTGTGTGTATACAGGAATGTTAAAGATATCATTGAGGAAAACGAGGTTGATGTGACTTTCACTATGCAGTGGCAGGAAGAACTAGGGAGAGGGATCTTGGATGTGGATTGGCAATATGCAATAGAAAATATACACTCTTATATATGTATCAGACAGGGTGTAATGCAGTTTAAGATTGTTCATAGACTTCATCTACCAAGGACCAGACTTGCCAAGATATACCCTAGTACTGACCCAACATGCCTCAAGTGTCATCAGGCACCAGGAACATTGTTTCACATGTTCTGGTCCTGCTCTAAACTAAATACATTCTGGTCTGCAATCTTTGATGCTCTTGTTATTTGTTCTTTTCTTTTTTCTGTGTTGTTATTGTCACTAATTTAATGGAAAATCCAATAAACACAATTAAAAAAATAAAATAAAAAATAACTTCAAGGCACAATCATGTCAACATTTCAAGGTGTTTACTGAGTTTTGTGGTCGTTTTTAAACTATTGTGAGCAAATGACAGATGATGACACACACGCATTTTAACCTTTTCACACTCTCACCCGCCACACCTGGTATTTCTCATGCATAAAAAAATATTTTGATAATGCCCACGAAATTACATCACTGCATATTCAGTGGAACGTGTTGCAAGACAGTGTCGGTACCGTAGAGCTCAACAAGAGCTTGCCACGCTTCAGCCAATAAAAATAAGACACACGCAGCTACCCATCAGAGTAAGTTACAGAGTGACTAGAGTGGGTCAAACGGGAAGGAGTCAAACTCATGCATCACACACACACACACACACACACACACACACACTAACATGGTTAATACATGTCTTAAGATATTTTTTACTGTGTGTCAACAAAGTCATTTTTGTTTAAACCTTGGTGTATTATACATCATTTGAAAGGTATTGACATGATCTACCAAAATAAATGATCAAATATAGTTTTAAAGGTAAAATGCACTTCAGAGGGTGTCTTTTATAAATAATTTTCATTGACAAAAACCTTTACATTCGAAAGTTAAGTTTTCACACTACTGGATGGCAGCCATCTTGCATTTCTTGGTCAAAATGATGTCATAACGTCAAGCTGATGTCAGAATTGAAATCCTCATGGTCAACTTATATGAAAAAGTGTCTTCATACATGATTCTAGGTGCTCGAGTTCAAAAGTTAATTTTTCAAGATGGTTGCTGGCGGCCATCTTGGATTTGGCGCTCTAGCAAAAAAGCTCGGAATTTTTGAGAGGGACCTGGGAGCTAAATTTTGTATAAAAGGTCTATAGATGTCAAATCAATCATCAAAACATGTTAGCCAGAAAATGGTCACGGAACTGAGGTTCTGGACCCTACTATATTGCTCTTACCTTGGAGAAAATCAGTCTTTGTCCCTTAGTGCTGTGTCATTCATGAACGAGTCTGTTGAGTGACTGTAGGCTACTAAACTGAATCACTTCCGGAAGTGATTTCTTCATTCATCAGTTCAGTCAGTTGACATCACCAGGCCATGGGTGCGGTTTACCAGACACAGTACCAGTACGAACAAAACAGCCCCAGCAGGTTATGTCACATATTTATTTATGGGGTTAGATCAGTCTCATAATGAATGAACACACACAGGGTTTTTCAAGATTGCACATGCTCTGGTTTACAGTTGTATTTCGGACTCACTAATGCACACGCTCTGCTTCACAAATATTATTTTGAGGCACACTTGTAATATAAATTCACAGATCATGCGAATCGCTGAATGTGCATTTACAAACTGCTTCTCATTTGTGAACCTCTCTACATTTGTGAGAGAAATCTGTGGTGAATTTTGAGACTCCCCTGACGTTGCAGGTCAACGAATATCACCATTGGCTTATAAATCTGTCAATCAAATTTATGATTCTAATTGACAGATTCATCAGTTAATCAGGTGTGTTTGCTTTCAGCCAATCGTATGGCTCCTTACATTTTCTCCACACTTTTAAACCAATCCCAGAGCTACTGAGCCACTGTTTGCAGCAGTACCTTAGGCTCTGGTTTGCAGTGTTCAAACAAGACTGAAACGGTGGAAGAGACATGGATCAATCTCAACCTGTAAGTAACACATTTATCTTATTATCTTATTATTATCTTATTATTATAGCCCTTGAATAGAGAGTCGCATCATCTCCGTTCACTCTAATCAAGACTATTCAAGAGAAGGCTGAGACACGGGGTCAAACATGGGAGGATTGCACATGTGCAGTAAAATCTAGTCTGCACTTCCTCAAAGGCTCAGTAGATGGCGTGAGACCGCAGAATAAGGGGGATGTTTGTTTAATGTCACTGAGGTGCCTGCAGTCAGTCCTGGGTTTCCATTTTGTTGGTTCTGGGATATGTGCATGCATGTCATTTTCACAGCTTATTATTGGACT